CACCATGCCAGAGCCGTGTGCTTGCCTAGATGTGCCACTGAGAACTCGAGCTGGTGATCAAACTGAGGCCACAGGCACCGCCGGAACCTGGGTCTCCAGCTCTGACACACAGGTCCTGCCCGGTTAGTACCCACCAAGTTTCTGATTCTGTTTCTAACAGCTATAAACACCTTCTGCCTGCAGGGATCAAACACCTGCAGGAAACTAACAGACAGTGTAGGTGTTATGGATTCTCAGGTTCTCACCACAGAGTGCATCAGGGACCAGGGAGGCTTTTCCTTTTGTCTGCCACTGACAGCGCAGATGTTCTGGCTCCTGTTTCTTATCTCCTTATCTGTCAAGGTCACTTCTGAGCAAGACCACAGAAACAAGACAGACTGCTGGTGGCTCAGCTCCAGGCCCAGGCCTGAAGCTGCTTCCCTGACCAAAGGCAACTGGAATTCCACACTCAGCTGGAAGAAGCTGACAGACTCCTGCCACCCAGGGCCATGGCTTTCCCATGTCACCCTTGCAGGACTGCCACCACCTCATCCCAGACCGCCCATTAGGCTGTCTTCACTGCAGGCACACAGCTGGGGGCTGTGACCTGGTAACCAGAGCAGTCTAGAATCAGCAAAGGAACATGATGGTTATTTTTGAGGACTCTGAGACCAGCGAGGTCGGATCTTAGCTTGGGGATGTCAGGTGGCCCCAAATCACCAAGTGCAGAAGCTGCCCTGCCTGCCACAGTTGGGTGGTGACATGGTCTCTTGATCTAGTTGGAGCAGAGATGCCAGGCCTTAGTTGGATGTCATATGATATTTATGGTTTGAGAATCAATGAATGAATGGAGACCAGGGGAGAACCAAGGGAGCAAGAAGGGATATCAGATGGGAAACGAGGGAGGTCCCTAAGCTTAAGTTGTCGCACCTGTTTCTGCCATAACTGCCTCCATGTGGCCCAAGGCTCAATCTGCAAAGGGGTCAGAGTGCTGGAGCTCAGGCCAGCAGTACAGGAACCACACTTCTTAGAGATGGTCTCATGACCCTTGAGGGTTAGCTTCCCAATATCCCTGGTACATTAGCCAAAGGCAAAGCCACTACTCTAGGTTGACAGGGATGTTGGCAGAAACACCCCATATCTTGGGGTGAAAGCCAGGAAGGAACGTCAGGAGGGATCCCCCAGCCCCTTCTTTGCTTTGGAAACCTGTCCAGATCCTGAAACTCCTTTCTGCTAGCCCCAGAGGAGGCAGCAAAGGGTAGACAATGCTTCCTGTTCCTGCATAGCCTGCCTTTGAATGAGGGCACATTGACAACTGTCTCCCTGGCTGTTTTAACAGCTCCCAGGAAGACCACCAGACAGACAGGAGGCACACTACGGGTTGCCCTCTGCTAGGACCAAAACTTCCTTTAAAACCAGGGTCTGGTGGCAGAGGCCTAAAATTGCATCTACTTCTGAAGCTGAGGCAGGGAGATTTGCAAGTTCAAGACCTGTCTGGGCTATAGAGTGAGTTCAAGGCCAGCCTGTGCAACTGAGGAAGCCCTTATCTTAAAAAGCATATTAGAAGGAGGGTTGTGGATACATGGAAGGGCACTTGCCTAGCATGGGAAGGAAGGTCTTTAAATTCAATCCCCAGGACTACAGACAAACTTTTGTTGAGTTGGCTGTTCGGCAGTATGGAGGGGGAAAGCCCACATACTGACTGGAATTAGAGTCTCAGTCTGTTCCTCAGACACGTGGGAGGAAGGATAAATTTGCACATGAGTCTAACAAATACACAGGGAGGGCAGGAGTGCCCAGGAGCAGAGAAAGTTTGATTCTGAAGTTAAATAAATACAGCATAATAAAGGTTATACGAACTACTTTCACTGGGGCCTTAAAAATGAGCGGATTTTAAAGGCACCTTGAGGGTGAACATAAGATACATTAGAAAAGTAGCACAAAGCTTTGTTTTAACTGAGACAGAGAGAAGAAAACATTCTAACCCAGCCAGCTAAGCGTTTGACGAGCTGCCTTTGCTGGTGTTTGATTTCTGGCAGGGCAGAATTGGGCATGGGGGTGCTGAGATCAGCACCAGAGCTGCTGCTAGCCCCTGGGGGGCCATCTCTAAGCAGGCGGGGTTCCTGCCTCATTGGGTGGATGGGAATGCTTAAGTGAGGTCCTTCACTAAGATCCCTTTGCTGTCTGAACTTGGAGTTGTGGGACAGTTGAGGCAGGGGCAGGATGTGGAACTCAAGCTTGGGGACTCCTGGATCTGCCCTCTGAAGTCTTTTCACGGTCCCTTGGGCCTCTTTCCACCCTTGGCACTCTAGGTGTGGTATGGCATTTAGTGTCCCTTGGAACATATTGGAAATTCCAAATCACAGAGCCCCATCTCAGACCCACAGAACAGAATATTCATCCTTACAAGAGACTGGGGGGCTCTGAATGCACATTGGAGTTCGGAGGCCAAATGGTTTTTCAGCATGTTCAGCTGGGCCTTCCCGGGTCAGGCCAGCTCACCAGACTCCCTCCTGCATTTCCCAAAAGTGAAGGGTGAGCCCTGGCTTTGGCACTTCCTAGCTAGGTTCACTGACTCCCAGGAGCTTCAGAGAGTTCGTCCACATGATGAGAACAAAGACAACAAGTACCCAGGACCTTTGTAGGATGGAATGGCATGCAGGGATTATTCTCACTCAACCTTGTTTTTCTCTCTGCCTCCAACCCACACATTCTGTTGACTGCTGACATCCGTGTGAACTCAGTTTTAGGAAAACTGCCCGCGGCCGATGGAGGATGTTGTGTTCTGTGGCAGCAGCTAGAACTAGCATTAGTACAGTGACCTGATGGCCCAGGGGTTCAAATGCCAGCTTTCTTATTCCCAGCTGCATTCCTCTCTGAGTCTTTTTGGTTTTCTTGAAAAAGGGAGTTTGGAAAGGCAAGGTCACATGACAACGAAAAGTGAGTAACGCAAGTGACATACCTGGCACACACTGAGCACGTGACACATCTGCCATCACCATCACCATCACTACCCACCCCTGGTCACCCAGGAGAACGGAAGATGTTGTGCAGATAAAAGGCATGTTACTAATGCACATATTTCTTGTGCCCACGTCAGACAGCCCTTGGCAACCAAATTAGTCCTGACTATGACTGCCCTGCCCTGGGATCCGACAGTCTGAGTTACCCCAAATATGGCTGGTCTGCTCCTCCTAGCCAGCACACTCTGGGTGGGGCACCTTGCCATGCTTGTTTTTGATGTCCCGGTAATGAGACTAAGCATGCCCCATAGATCTGAGACAATGTTCTCAGCTAGGCTGGGTGCTGCTTGAACCAACCTTCCAAGTCTCTAGATGTTCAGCATCATGCCCTAGGTGTTCCTTTCAATGGTCTGAGGTGTGGCTGGAGCTTTGGGGTCTTTCCAGAGCTCCCCACGGTACTTTTCCATCTAAGGGATGATGGGGGTGTCTAGGAAGTTGAAAGGAAGCCCCTACTGTTTTCCATTCGCTCAGAGGAAACACCGTGTTTCTCTACTCCCTCACTCCAAAGGGAAGCCCACAAGGAATGTGAACGTATTTAGACAGTAAATAACTCTGCTCCTAGAAGCAATAAACTCTCAAATGAACCCAAAACCAACAAATTGCATCCTTGGCTAATGGGAGTATTTTTTGTTCCTCTGTGAAAAATAGATCAAAGCAGGTTGGCCTCAGGAAGTCAGGGCGCAGCTTTCAGGGTCTGTCTCTGGCCCTGCATGCCCACCTCTCCACCTCCTATGCTCCTGTGAGCACACTGTGGTCACAAAGCAAGAATCCATAGGTACCCTGTCTTCAGCAAAAGCTAATGGCAAGCATACCCATGCTCGACACTAACAGCATACACAATGGGATAGTGTGTTCTGAGTAGACTCAATGTCAACTAAAGAGGTTCCTAATTAATTAGATGCTCAACCTCCTGAGCTGCTACCACCCTGAACCCCAATGCTCTATTTCAGCCCACGAGAAATTCCAGGCTCCAGTGGAGAGATGTCCTGCAGGACTCAACAAAACAAACCCAGCCGGCCTCTGCTTTCCTATTACCACCGGTTCTTGGAAGGCAGCTGGCCTTGACTGCTGGCTCCCTGGAGTCAGATGGCCCTGCAGGTGATTCAGGGAAGCAGCTAAAGCTTAAGGGGAGGCTTTGTTTCAGGTCTAGGTCTGCTAAGAAGCTGCTGTTATGGAGGGACCTAGTGGTTTTTCCTGGGGCAGGATGGGAAAATGCTCCACCTCCTTTCCCAGAATTTTCATGGTGGTGAGAGGTTCCTGATGGGGACCCCTGTGGACAGTAATAGGATCCAGGTGGGTGCTGTACTCAATCTTCTGTCTTTGCTCACTCATTCCCATCTGGAAAGTCTGACCCACCCTGACTTCTGGGCAGACTCTTACTCAACATCCTTTGCCAAAGCCTTCACTCAAAGCATGATCAGTCATGTGCCCCCTTCTGGCAGCTCTCGAACACCTTGAATTATTAAACAGCACTTCCCATGCTGAGCCCCAGTACTTACAACTATGACCCCCAGACTGAGAGTCCTTCCCAAAGTCTCTCACCCAGGGAGACGCACCACCTAGCTAGTGTCAACTCCCAGCTCAGGGAAAGAGGGCTCTTGCTCGCTGAGTGAGTGGTGGTCCCCAGCCTGTAGACAACTGTGGTGAGTGGGGAGAGGGTTTCTTAGAGAAGTCAGTACAGGCAAACTCTGAGAATCCCCTAGCTTCCCAGGAATAAGAGTAGGTGGGAAAAGGGTAGGGACACCCTAATGTGGGCTCAGATCCTTGCAGGTAACACTTGCTTCCTCCATATCTTTGATTAGGGGCTGACTGACTCAGGCCCCCTGTATCCACTGAGAAATGAGATCTACCCTGTGCCTAGTCGGAAGACAGATGTGCAAATTGGAAACAGGCAGAGACGGAAGGACAAACATCATTCGGGAGCACAGACAAGGTCAGACAGAAAGATGGAGATAGGGAACAAGCACAGCAGACTTTCTGTACGGGGCGGCCACTCACCAGTTCCTTTCTGAGCCACGTTATAGCTTCATCGATACTCCGGAAGCCTTCCAGCTTGCCCGTGGTCAGTGGCCTGTCGCCCTGGCTGGCACTCCTGGCAGGTGGAAGAAGCTCTCTGGACTCCCTTAGAGGTATCGAAGGTTCTCCACCTCCACATGCTTCCTGCTCCAAGGGGGCCTCCTGCTGGGCAGCTGACCTGGGGAAAGGCCACGTCTGCTCCTCTAGCCTGGCCTGCCATTCCAGGTAGGAGGGTCTTCGGGTCTCTAGCCTCAGTTTCTCGGTGAGGGCCTTCAGGCTGAGGAGGTGGTCATCGGGAGGTGCGGTGGCCCCTGCTGGCCTGTCTTTCTCACCCACTTCTTCCACTTGGATCCGGGGCACAGACATTCTCTAGTCTGCCCTGGTAGCCAGACATGGGAGGTGGTGGAGGCCACTCGGGAGACTTGCTGGGTAGCAAGGTCAAGTCCTGCTCTGCAAAGACCTCATAGAGCGGTGGCTCTGTCTCCTGAAGGCATTGTTGGGATGGTAGTGCGTCTCAAGGCTTGGCAGCACCGGGAGCCAAGCGAGGCTGTAAAGTGTGCCTCTCTGAGCAGGTGTGGCTCAGGGTCTATGATTTGTCCCATAATCCTGTGGGGGCCATGCTTCACAGAAGGCAGGATCAGACAAGCATCAGCAGGAATCTCTGAGGCAGCCTCCTCCGAGATCTATCTATGCTGGCTGGAGGTGTGCAGGTCGGAGATGATAGGAATGTCCTCTTTTAGGGGGAAGTGAGCCTGCAGGAAGGAAAAGAACCCTATCAGCCCTGGTCTCACTCCCCAACTGAGGTCCAGGGACAGGGTTTCTACTTGCCAGTTCTTAGCAAGAAGGGAGGCAATTTCACAGATTCCATGCAGAGCAATTGATAGAACCAGAGCTTTACTGTCTGTAAAATCATTCTACCTCTCTGAGACCATGGAAGTCCTTGCAGCAAGTTTAGAGGCTTGAACCTGAGTCTCCAAGAGGCCAAGCGACTCACCAAGATAGATCCCTCAGCAAGAAATCGGGGGACAAATCCAGCTGGTCTGAACCTCAGGACATAGGTCTCTCCTCTGGGCAGGTCCTCAAAGTCAGCTGACTGGCCAAGTGGGATTCTGCACAGACTCAGGACAGGTGTCTCCTGCCCCTTAGCTACCCTCACCCACCTCAGCCCCACCTTCCATCCACACTCAGCTTCCGGCTCCAACAACAACACCTGACCTCACCTCTAGCTGGCAGCCTGGGCAGGAGAGAAGCTGGCGGCTGGAGCTGGGCTGGGAAACTGAAGGAGACTCATGACTCACTCTTTTGGAAAGATGTTTCTCACGTTTACCTGGAGTGCCCATAGGGCAGCACTACCTTGCGACGGATCCAGCTGTGCTCTGAGCTGACCACCTTGGCTCTAGTGAAGGGTGTAAACTAAGACTCTTAGCCCCATCCCACCAAAGCATAGGTAGAGGAGTAGCTGAGTGAGAAACAGACCAGAGCCTCCCAGCCTTAGCATCTCACGTCCAAGGAGATCTGGGCAAGGGCAGCTCGGAGTAGGAGGCACATGACTTGAACTTGGGTTTGAAACATATTTCTGCTGAGCTCTAAACATGAACTGAGATGGAACCGTATCCAAGATAAGGCTCAGATGAAAAGCTATGGACTCAGCCTCTTGGAGCACACGTTGCCCTTGTGTGGAAAAGGAGGGAAACAAAGAGATGCTTATTGACTTTGCATCTTTGAAAACCCCTGACTCCACGGTGACACAAATCGGTCACGCTGCCTTTGCACAGGCAGTATGCCCACCACCCTGGTCCCTGATGATGATCTGCTTTCTATTTCCACACATTTGCTTCCTGAGAATGCTCCATCATTACACCGTACAGGCTCAGCCTTCTTGCGGTTAGTGTAGTACACTTGAGATGTGGCTGTGTTTATCAGTATTTCATTCTGCTTTCTTAGTGAATGGATGGAATACAATTTGTCTTTCCACCTGTTGAAATGTATGAAACTGTTTCTGCATTTTAGTGATTATGAATAAAATCAGTATAAGAAATAAAAATATAATATATATGTATATATATATTTATATATATATCTGCTCAAAGAAAACTTAATTCAGGTGATGTCTTATTGCAATGGCAGGAAATGGGTAGACAAAGATGAAGATTTAAGATGAGGATGGTGTGGGAGCAAACTGGCAGGCTGGGCCATTGAGTGGGGAGGGTCCTCCTGACAAGCCTAAGCTGCAGGGAGAGCTGACCAGAGCACCAGGGGCTGCCCTCTCCAGGCTCTGAGCTGAGCCTCCCCAGGGCATCACTAGGGAATGAGAACATTGCACCCCACAGATAGCAGAGAAACCTAGTCTCATTTCTTGCCTTCTCTGGGCAGGGAATGGTACCTTGGGGGTCCTTCACACACACACACACACACACACACACACACACACACACACATACACACACACACACACCTCAGCAATTCTAAGCCCACTATGTGGGCCCTGGGACTCCCTCAAGCCACTAAGCTTCCCAGAAGCTCCAAGCATGTAGCTGAAAACCCTGTAGAGATGCTGACCCTAGCTCCAGGCTGTCAGGCTAGCTGAGCCTCAGTTTGGCTTTCTGTAAAGAGGGTTGGCTGATACTACCCACCTCCTCGTATATGCTCCCTGACTGTTAGCATGCTGGGAAGACACAGCAACTCTTGATATTCTGCCTTTCCAGTTCCTCATGATCGCCTTCTCCAGACCTCTCAAAGTGGAAACTTGGGAGTGGCTTCCTGGGGCCTCTCCTGGGCGCCTGTTGTCTGCCTTTTGTGCTGAGGTGCCAGCCTTCGTTCTGAGTACACCTGGGGGCAGCTACACTCTAGAAAGCTTCCTTCCCCAGACCTGGGAGCTCTCATTACACCCAGCAGGGCTTTTTGGAGAAAGTCCAATTTAGACAGGCTGAGGAGCAGCACCCTACTCAGCAAGTCCTGGGAGGGACAACACAGGGGTTGTGTTGGGAAGTACTTCCTACTCCTACGTGCCTCTCTGCAGTGGGTGGCACTCTGCAGGGTCTCCTCTCGAGTCCCACTGTGTGGCTATGTTTTAATTGCTGTTTCTGGATAGACTCAGAGGAGGCCTGAGCAAGACAGCTCAGTGAGATGACTCAGCCTAGGGGAGCCTTTCATCCACTACCTTCACGGTGCCTGTGAAGCACTGGGTATACTCTGGCCCCCTCCAGCCTCAGCGTCATCCAAAAACAAAGCAAGAGAACAGGAACTACAAAGTGGGGAGCACAGTGATGGGAAAGGTGAGGTGCTTTCATGAGCTGGCTATAGGCAGCTGCCAGCTGGGACCTGGGCACCCAGTTTCTTTCTACCCAGCTCAGAGCTGGAAGGCGGCTGTGAGATCTGTGCTCTGGGTCTGTAGCTTCAAGACCATCTCGAGACTCTCCATCCTCTTCTGAGAAGTTGGTACAGCCAGAACTTGCATAATCTGCAGACTGGGCTCAGTGCAAAAAGCAAAAAGTTCCTAAGAATCTCAGGATGCTGGCTGCAGAGTATTAATAAAGTGAAGGTCTGTGTTAAATGTACAGGTCACTGAGGGGATCTGAGGCTAAACAAGGTAAAAGTCATTAGCACTGTACCTAGCATGTAGGAGGCCTAGCTAAGACTACATTTTAAAAGGTGGCGAAGTGGATGGAGCATATTGATAATTCCAATCCCATTACCCACCACCGCACTGGGCTGTCAGTGGTGGGTCCTTGACCTCTTGGTGACCTGAATCATCTCTGCTCTTTCCCACCTCTCCTTGGAAACCAAATGATCTGAAGAGGCCCAGAGGGTTTCTTCCTTCCTCTATAACTGGGTGTAGGAGTTGGCCTGGAATGTCACCCACACAGGCCTGGGGAAGTGCCAGGAGAAAGAGTCACCATCGACTGCCCGCTTAGTAGGCACTAAGCTAACTTTGTCCTGAGCTGGTGGCAAGGTGCTGAACAAGTGTTTGCAACAGGTGCCATATCCCTGGGGCAGCTTCTTGGGTGGACAGATGGCAGCTGGGCCCTTCTGTCTTTCTTGATATACTAGGGTGTTCTGGAAGAGCCCTCTGCCATGCTGGGCCACAGGCTTTTCACCTAACCTAGATTCTCCTGGAGGGGTAAGCACAGAGCACAGCAGAAAGTAGAAAGACGTCCTCAGACCTGGGGCCCAGGGCGTCAGGAGAAAGAAGACAATCCCAGAGTCCCACCAGGCTCAGGGATGCCCCACATGGCAGACACCCCATTAACAGCCAGGGCAAGCCTTGCAGGTATGCCAGCCTTCCTGAAGAAATGATGTGTGGGCCTAGGGACCCACTCTGCATACATGGTTGCTCTTCAAACATGCTCCCTGGCTTCCAGGATAGCACAGGATGCTTCGCCAGCTGTGAGCTAATTCCTAGGCTGCTGGAGGAGGTGGGCGGGTGCAGTTCCATCCATCAGCCAACACCTTGTCTCATTATGAGCTAATTTGTTCATCTGGAAAGCCTTCAAGCCCACTTCCCCAAAGGGCTCCTGGGTCGAGGAAGGCTAGGGGTCTGTTGACTAATGCCCTCCCCACTCCTTCCACTGGAACCCATCATTTCCTCTTCAGGAGATACAGTCTAACACACACACACACACGCACACACACACACTCCACACACCCCACCGCCTCTCCTGCCCCCTGGAACCCCATGGCTTTGTACAGCTGTTTCTTCCTCCTCCCTTCTCCACCTCAGTTCGCAAGGATTTGAGGCCTTTCTCCTTGCGGAAGATTTCTTTAATCTTTGCTGGCGGAGTGGTGTGCTCTGGTGAGGACAGTACGCAGGAAAAACAATGATGTCACCACACGATGAGCTAACACTTACTAAGAGTAACCATAGCTGGAGTCATTCTAACAACCGAGCCTGTCCTGACCCAGGAATGCACCTATTAATGTCCCCAGAGTACAGATGGGGAGACTGAAGGCCCAGCTAGGTGCGGTCACTTGCCTAAGGTCACAGAGCCAGTCAGCAGTGAATTTGGCACTCCAGCCCTCTGTGTCTGTGTCTAGGCATCACATTTATACCAGGCTCTTCTTTTTATAAGACTTATTTGTATTTTATGAGTATGGATGCTTTGTCTGCATGTAGGTCTGGGCACCGCATGTGTGCAGCGCCTGAGGAAGCCAGAAGAGGTGGTTGTGTCTCCAGGAAGTGGAGCTACAGACGGCCATTAGCAGCCATGCAGTTCTTAGGGCATGACAGGAAGACTGCTGTCCTCTTGAACTCTCAGCGGCTAATATTACCCACAGAGGACCCATACAAAACTGGAGTTATTAAAATTCCACCATGGGAGGAAGGAGTTCATGAGGCCCCACCTTTCCTGAGGCAATATAAGCAGTTAACAGTTGCTAGAGGGAGGCGGACATTTTCTTCAGTGGTGTAGAAGGAGCCCATGTTCCTACAGGTAACTCCAATTGTTACCTAACCCCATCGGTTCACTCTGCTAGACTTGGGTACACCATCTCTTTGGGAGTTGAACTTGGATCCTCTGGAAGAGCAGCCAGTGTTCTTAACCGCTGAGCCATCTCTCCACCCCCTACCAGGGCCTCGTGACAGTCTCCTCTACCACACTGTGATGTTCACAACGTGAACCAGTACTTTGGTCCCGGATCCAGAACTTAGCACAGCGCTGCCCTCTGTAATCAACCCGGAATGAATGGGCACAGAAAAGCAGAGGCGCAGTTCCTGGGCTTAATATGGACATCTATCTGTCCTCAGGAGACGCCACACCTACCCCTTCCCTGCCCTGACTGGCAAGTGCCCGAACAAGAGTATGTCTGTACGCCTGGCTGCCTGGACGCAGGTGGACAGCCTCCCCCACCCTTCCCCAGGCAATCAGGAACAGACTCAGCTGGCGCCATGTCCTGGGACTTTGAACTGAAGCAGAGAGGACCTCCTTGGTGCTCAGCATTGTATGGGGTCATTTCCACTTGGTACCTCCTGCCTTCTGTCCTACAGAAAGACCATTCCACTTTGCTTTGAGGAAGCTGACCCCTCAGTTCCTAGGGCACTGACATTCTCTCACTTCAGATACGGTCACATGACTTTAACTGAGCTAATCAGAGCACTGCTTACCCAAAGCTGGCTTTATTCCCAGAAGCCTGGGGTTACTAGGGGCCTCTTGCTGTCATAGGGGAAGCATTTACTAGGGTATAACCCCAAGAACACACAACAGTTTAAGGCCCCCAATTAGACCCTGTTGTGAAACACAGTTCTTAGGGCATGACAGGAAGACTGCTGTCCTCTTGAACTCTCAGCGGCTAATATTACCCACAGAAGACCCATACAAAACTGGAGTTATTAAAATTCCACCATGGGAGGAAGGAGTTCATGAGGCCCCACCTTTCCTGAGGCAATATAAGCAGTTAACAGTTGCTAGAGGGAGGCGGACATTTTCTTCAGTGGTGTAGAAGGAGCCCATGTTCCTACAGGTAACTCCAATTGTTACCTAACCCCATCGGTTCACTCTGCTAGACTTGGGTACACCATCTCTTTGGTCTGTCATTGGTCCCTCACCTGAAGTGAACAGACATTTGTTCAGTTACCCAGGACCTAGGACCAGTTACCTAGGCTTTGATGATACAGCCCTTCAGATTCTCCTCTGGGACCTAAGCCATTTCCGGCTAGATTCCCGACAGTTCTAACTGGCTAAGCGTTAGGGAAAGGAAGTAAAAGAACATGGCAAATGCTTGCTGGTATTCGGCTTTTGTTTGCTTCTGTGCCACAACTGACCCCCTCCTTTGCTGTCTGCAGGGAGCTCCCATGTTGCATGGAACCAGAAGCAGGCCACGCACCCTTCGTGTTCATTCTCTGGGATCACAGGACCAGCCCCAAGGCCCCTTCTTCTGCCAAGGCCCTGACTACTAGATTGAGAATTTGACCTGAGCTTGACCAATCAGAGGCTCAGGCCTGGGCTCTGAATTTGGAGTGTATGAGGCCCAGATGAAGAGCCAAGGAGAATTCACATGTGGCCACCTAGGTGCCAGCCAGTCCCAAGACAGTTGTGAAATGCGGAGGTCTCTCGGCGGATGGTCTCTACTAAATAACCAGGGGGCTGGCTCTGACTTCTGGTTCGGCCCTGGAGCTGCCTGCTCCCTTCCGTGGCCTTCTGCTCCTCTCACTTCCTACGGTTGCCCAATAACCCTGCAACCAGGTCGCTCTCGGTCGCCTACACTCAGGAGCCCCAGCTAGAGTGAGGGCTGCAGAGCTCGTTTGCATGGGCCCCAGCTACAACTGAGAGCCAAGCCATGGCAGGAAATGTGGTGACACCTAAGACTCCCTTCTCCCACATTTCCATGTGTCTCTTAGGGAGAACTAACAGGATGAGTTACCACCTTCTTCTTCGTAATTTTTACTGAGGCTGTGGCACTCACAGTTGTTTCCTAATTTACAGTCACCTGCAAACAGCACTTGGTGAGGGCAGGGTGACTGTTGGCCACATGTGGCTTTTGACACTTCTTCTGCTTCCTCTAGCAGAAATGCCACCCAGGGGTCATTGTGAGGAAGAGGACATGCTCTGGGCTTTCCCTAATGGACAGCAGCGGGATGCCCCAATGGAGCAAACATCTGTATGTCTGCTCAGCCTGGACAGCAGTTTGGAGATGTGCTCTCTAGGCCACCTCAGCAAGGTGACAAGCCCCATAGCAAGGCCCAGGAGTGGCCCTGCTGTTATAGTTCACTTCCTGTAGCTGATCGACGTGGATCTGAGCTTCCTGCAGCCCCACACTAGTAGGGTAATTCTCAATATTAACTCCTGATGTCACTTGGAGACCTTTTCTGCTACCTGAAAGAGGTATAATATCCCTAGTGCTTTGGGTTGATTTTATAGGTTGGAAACAACAACGATAAAAACCTGTGTCACATAAAAACCTGTCATAAAACCCCAGCCCAGGAAAACTGGCAAGGGACTGTGATTATCACCCAGGAAAAGAGATACATTATTTATCACATCGGAACAGATAGGTGCCCCAGGCTCCGCACAAGCAGAACAAAGATCATAGTTCCCAGAGGGCTTTAACACTTTTGAGCCTCAATTGTTCTGAGACTGCAAGGTCCCCCAAGGCTGAAATGGCTGGTTCTTGGGAGCAGGGTCCTGCTGGGGAAAGCTGGGAGGTCCCTATCTTCGGTCAACTTCCTACTGATGCCTACCATACCCCGACACTCCTCACCCACTGATGCCTACCATACCCGGACACTCCTCACCCACTGATGCCTACCATACCCCAACACTCCTCACCCACTGGTGGCTACCATACCCTGACACTCCTCACCCACTGGTGGCTACCATACCCCGACACTCCTCACCCACTGATGCCTATCATACCCCGACACTCCTCACCCACTGGTGGCTACCATACCCCGACACTCCTCACCCACTGATGCCTATCATACCCCGACACTCCTCACCCACTGGTGGCTGCCATAACCCAACACTCCTCACCCACTGGTGCCTACCATACCCCGACACTCCTCACCCACTGATGGTTGCCATAACCCAACACTCCTCACCCACTGGTGCCTACCATACCCTGACACTCCTCACCTACTGACGGCTACCATACCCTGACACTCCTCACCCACTGGTGCCTACCATACCCTGACACTCCTCACCCACTGATGGCTGCCATAACCCAACACTCCTCACCCACTGGTGCCTACCATACCCTGACACTCCTCACCCACTGGTGGCTACCATACCCTGACACTCCTCATCCACTGATGGCTACCATACCCCGACACTCCTCACCTTAGGCCTAAGACCAGGTGTACAGATGTCGTCTCTTCTCAGTGGCCCCTTCCTTTGTGCCCTTGGATGTTTCTCTGGGACTCCACTAGTTGTGAGCCTTTATCTTCTACAGTACATCTTGGATTCTGCCCTAGCAACCATGTCTCTAGGTACTATTTATTAACACTGCCAGGCCTCCAGGCACTCTGCAGAAAGAGCATTTTGTGAGCCTGAGGACCTGTGACTGCATGGTGTGATCATCCCATTCTAGGAGTAAACTGAGGCACAGAGATCAGAAAGAACTAGCAGGGCATGGGTTGGTACTGGGTAGGTATGGAGAGGACAATGCCAGCGGGGTAACAAGGCTGAGCTTGGAGCTAAGGGCTGGGCTCTCTCCCTTGTTATAGCTCAACAGGGAGCTATATATATATAGCTGGCAGACGACTGTCCTGGCAATAGCTAGCTCTGTCCCAGCTCTATGCCATCCAGTGATGCTGTCCCCACCTGGAGCACCACCTTGACTGTGACTACAGGCCACCCATTTACAACAAGGAAGGTCAGTCAGATCCTCTAGAGTACACAGTTGGGCAAAGTGAGTTGGGGACTGAGTGACCCATTTAAGGCATAGGCTACCTTGGTGACAGCCCACAGCCTGGGGCTGCTGTGCTGTGTTCTAGAACATACTATCTAGACAGGGCTGGCTCTTTCCTGAGTCCCACCCACACAGAGAAGTTTTCCTCAGCAGGTGTTACTTAGTTATTTTAGAGAAGCTTCTGGAATGAAGAACTGGCCACCACCATGGATCAAGCTCCCCTGGGATCTGACTTCTCTTAGCAAGGCAGGCATAAGGTATGTCTTCAGCGAGTCTGGCTTTCACACCCCAACACTGTCTGGCTGCCCAACACTCTACTGCTGCTGCCAGGCCAAGCATGGTCAGTGGGCAGGGGCTCACATTGTATACAAGGAAGTCAGTGTTCCTCTCCTGAGTGTGCCTGCATGTCACAGTGGCAAACTCCATCAGAAAGTTGTGACCTAACCACAGCGTCTTTGGCCGCTTAATCAACCTGCTAGGGCAGCGCACCAGCCCACCCTCCCAGCACCCCCTGCTTCCACCCATTGGCTGTGCTCGGAGGGGGCCTCCAAGGCTGAATAGTGGAGGACAAAACGTGCTCAGTTGATGGCCTGCACGCACCTTCTTGTCTCTTAGTCAGGTCTGGGCTCCTTCTCTGAAGACGAAGCTGCCACAGAGCCACGGGGTGGATGAGATGAGGAAGGAAAAGGCACTCAGTGGGCTCTACAGTTTTCTCAGGTGGCGGAAGAGTCGTAGGTCTGGGCAGGCAGGCTTATCTGTGCAGGTTTAATCATAAACCTGATGCTTATCTTACATGGGGGTGGGGCGCTCCTACCCAAACTCACCCAGCCTGGAAAGTGTGGTCTGTAATGTGACCACCGACACAGCCCTGCCGAGCAGGGGATGAGAGGAGGGGACACAGTCCCCTTCCCACAACGCCCCCCCCCCCCCAGCTGATGACACAAGCTGGGCACTGCCCAGAGCCCTGTTCCTCCTCCTCTGAGTTGCCATGGTGACCGAAGCAGGAGGGACACCCGCTGATCTGGCCCTCTGCCAGTCATCTTTCCCCTTCCCAGGCCCATCTTTAATTCCAGCTCCTAGTCAGTGTTGTTGGGAGCACCTGAAATGGGGTGTCCCTGGCTACAGGGGCAGGGAGGGAACTAATTGTGCTGGGATGTGTGTGTGTGTGTGTGTGTGTGTGTGTGTGTGTGTGTGTGTGTGTGTAGGAAGTGGTTGTTTTACTGGTTGTGGAATGGCTGTCGTGTGTGTGTGTGTGTGTGTGTGTGTGTGTGTGAGAATATCTTGATGGATGCATATGTATGATAGTGGTGAAATGGTTGTCTTGTTCTCTTTCTTCTCTCTCTCTCTTCCTCTCTCTCTCTCTCTCTCTCTCTCTCTCTCCCCCTCTCTCTCTCCCCCCCTCTCTTTGTGTGTGTGTGTGAGTGTGTGTGAATGGTGTTGTCATGTTGTCTTATGATCTTTCTCTCTATATATATGTCTGTGTGTGTGTGTGTGTGTGTGTGTGTGTGTGTGTGTGTGTGTGTGTGTGTGGTGTTGTCTTCGGTCTCTCTCTCTCTCTTTCTCTCTCTCTCTCTCTCTCTCTCTCTCTCTCTCTCTCGTGTGTGTGTGTGTGTGTGTGTGTGTGTGTGTGTGTGTGTGTATATGTGTGTGTGTGTGTGTGTGTGTGTGTTATGGTGGTTGATAGTTGTCTTGCTGGATGTGTGTGCATGGGAGTGAACAAGCTGTTCACCAGTGTTCACCAGGGTAACGCTGAAGCCATCTGGGTGCTGCCTGGATAGTTCCTTCATGCAACAAAGCACCATGATAATCCACCCCTTCCTTCCAAAGAGGCTGGAGTGTGTCTCGAGTCTGGGGTCCTCCTCTGCAAACAGGCATCGCTGTGGGGACACTTAAGCTTAAGGATGATTCTGCCACACCCGCATGCCACCCCTGGACAAGCCACATGACTCTTGGAACTTGTGTGGTGTAGGAACTGACTTCTGCCTATGTGTAGGGGACTGACCAAGAGGCAGTCTTGATGTTAGGCCTGAGTCCTCCAGTGTGGGAGGACAAGAAGATGGCTCCATGTCCAACATAAGTCATGGGGGAGGTGGGGCCCCAGTGGCAGCATGGCAGCATAGGTGTATTCTCCCCTTGGGGTCCCACCATTTCTGAGGGAGATGGAAATAAGAACTCTTTGGGGCAGGCTCAGCCTGGGGATGTGGGGAAAGGCATTAGCTCCAAGCCCATATACCTGGAGAGACATGGCCCAAGAGCCGCTACTGAGCTGTCAGTGAACACAGTGACATTGGCCTCTGCTTCCTTCCGGGACTGCTTCTCAAGTTAGAGCAGCCAGCGGGCTGGCAACCACATTTTGGAGCCTCAGGCAACAGAACCTACTTACCTGTATTCTCTCAAGGACCTTCACGCAGTTTGCCGCGTCCTGTGCTAATGATTGCCTCTCCACTCAGGATTCAATGCTTCTATCTGCATACCTGAAATGAGATCGTCCATAAACATTTTCAAACCACACTGCCGTTTATAAACTTTTTCTGTGGCCTGGGCTGGAGAAACCTTCCCAAGTGTTAGACCCCACAGAAACCCCAAACCGGAGATGTCATGAAACTGGCCCAGGGTCACACGGCTCCATTAGTGGGGCTGACTCGACCTGGACTTGAACCTTTGGACTCTGAACAGAGTCCTGCTTCCATTGTCTCAGAAAGGGGAAGCCTTGTTTTGTCTAACTGAGACACTATGAGGGAAGAATCTATAAAAATACTTATAAAGATCTTTGCAAATGCAAAGTGCTAGGTCAGTGCTGAATAATTAATAGGCCTGGCTCCACAGGCCTCCTGCGAGACACCTGGGAGTTGGCTTTCATTGGCCTGGTGAAAAAAGTTGCAGAGAAAACTGCCAAGAAAGATGCGTGCTTCCCTATGGGTCTGGGAGGGGCCATGGCTCCCAGGAGTCATACAGCTAATTTGCATCATTCCTGAAAGGAGGGCAGAAAGCATGGGGCTGCTGCAAGGAGGAGGCGGGTCTGTGAGGAGACCCAGACTCCTCATTATGTCCCCTCTGTCGCCCTGGGTTAGGGCTTCTCTGGCAAGTGTGGAGGAAGATTCCTGAGAGGTAGAATAATGGGGTGGAATGGAGCCTTGAGAAATGAAGGGAAGGAAGGGGGCCCTCCTTCCAAGGAGGACCATTGATAAGTCAGTCTGTCACTGTCCCAGCCACCTGCCCCACGTGACCACAGAACTCTCTCCAAAGACCACAGTGGCTCCAAGGAATCAGACAGTAACCTCTAGAACAGTTTGTGGCTATAAAAGCACAAGGCAGTTGGGGTGTATATTCTAGCTACAGGAGCAGCACATGCTTCCCAGGAAACTCAGTTCACAGTTAAGTGAAACCACTTTACAGTTAAGGACATAGTGGCCCACTGGAAAGCGTCCCAAGGGGCATTTGTCCCGGCCCCCAAACAAGGCAGTTAGGCCTATTCAAATCCATGATGATAGGCTCCAACTTCAAATAAGCAAAATCAACAACGTCTGGTTCAAGTGGGAATGTATTCCATTTGTTTTCTGTTTCATTCTGCAAGTTCCCAAGGCCCAACCATTTTGCAAGGATTTCTTAAGAGGATTCCTGGTACACAGTTGTGTCTTCTTGAGTACCACACCCTATCTGGCTATGCTGTCTGCTCATTGGTGGGAGGGTCTTAGATTATTTTTTTTTTGTTTTGGAATTTGGATGGAACACAGTGAAGGGTACAGTGGGGTTATAGCTGCTCTAAGTCAAGCTGGGACTGTCCAGGGTGGCCTGCAGCTGCCTGCAGGAACATGCTGTGCCCACACTGGGGTATAGAGAGAATCTTTGTTCTGAGTGACTGAAGGCAGAAGAGAAAGTGGGTTGCGTGACCTTGTTCTCTGTTGTATCAGCAGAAGATGGGCCACATCAGGAGAGAATCTGGTGCTTCAGAGAGATTCAAGACAGTGAAGGATGGGGCAGACAGAGATGGGGGAGCCCAGCCACCAACTACCTCTGTTATGATGGATGATCAACCTAACACCTCAGGCTTTAGGGTCATAACATGGGATCATAGGAGAACCAACCTGATCAAATGAGATAAAGTGTGTGTTACTAGACACCTCAAACTAGACTGCCACCCCCTGCCCTCGACGGGGCCTGGCCGGTGTTCTCCTTGGCCTGTCCCCTGGGAAAGCAACTTCCCAACTTCCACTACCACCCAGCGAAGCGTCTGTATGTTCTAAGATGGGCAGAGCACCAACTTAATGCCACCCTTTGCGCTGTGCAAATTGCATTTACTCCTCCGCAGCCTTGACCAGATTCTTTGCTCCTTGAGGGTAAGGCCACCTTAGCAAGAATCCTCCACATGATCCTAAAAGGCTTTGAAGATAAAGAGAGGTTAGGTGTTCTGGGTGGTTTCGCCAGGCTAGCTGGCCCCAAGTGCATTCAAATGGAGACTCCCTCCTTCCAGGCTCGGCTCGCTGAGTGGGAAATCCCCACCCCTTCCAGAGGCAGCAGCACAGGTGTGCTATTGTCCTCTGCAGCAGCACGAGCATCCGGCAATCAGCACAGCAAACATGTTCTTTTGCTCATCTCTTTTGAAGACAGGGGTGTTCCAGAGGGGTGGGCTGATGGATGAATCTGAGGGACAGATGGACTTGCAAGGTGAAAGCATCTAGAGAGTACTCCAAGAAGGGCTGGTTATGGGTGCCAAGGGGCAGATGGCTGGGATGTCAGAAAACCTCCAGGAAAGGCTCCCAGGATCTGCGGGAGCGCTTCGGAGGTCAACACATCAAAAGAAGCCTATATGTGGGCAGAACTTGCTGTCAGGCTTGCTTTTACTCAAACTGGCTAACAGGCTTGCAGGCACCTTCGGCCATGTTTCCAGCAGCTGCTACCCAGCCAATCAAGAAGACAGATGAGGTGGCAGCACAGCCATCCCTGAGCCTGGAGCAGCTGCCTCTCTGACTACTTGGTTTGGTCAGGCTCAGGACTGTCTTGTGTCCCCAGGGTTCTGCACTTGTGCATGCGCAGAGGCTAGGCATTGGATGTCACTTCTGACTTGGTAGGAGATAAGGGGAAGCCAGGCTCCCAGGTGGTCTCCTGGTCATACAGGTCCTCATCAAAACTTTCTCAAGGTTTCTATGGCCACCTTCCCACCCCAGGTCCTTCCAGGTGTCATTGGTCCGTCCCCAGGCACTGCCCGGAGGCTCTGCTGACTTCTTGGAATGAGGAAATACAGGCCAGGCTTTAAGAACAGGGACAGTGGCCACTGCATAGGCCACAGCCTGGACTCATGCAAGTCTTGCCCTTCAACCTGGAAAATGAGATTTGACCCAGGTTTGCCCTACAGGTCCCACATAACACACTCAGGAAGGGAGCTCTGGGGATTCGCCACCAACCAACCACTCCCACATTTGGATCAGGGTATCCTGAAAAGAATTTGTAGCCTCAGTGAAGAAGGAAGGCTCAGTTCACCACTCTGAGGTGAGAAATAGAAGTACTACCCGTTGGATGGTACTCTGGAAATGCCTCCATGAACGGAGTTACCATAGGCCAGGGGCCTCCTGGAGAGGCTGAGGTGTGAAGAGGGCTACCTTAGAGAACAGGGCCCTTCCCCTGATGCCCATGGGACTCTGGGCTACTCTCCACAGAGCTGCCCCCCCCCAAGCTGATCTGGCATGGTAGCATGGTAGAGGGAGACAGGCTGGGGACAGGATAGGAAGGGTGGTGATGTCCTAGTACAACCTCGGACCCCTGGTGTCCTCTCTCTCCTTTCCTTTGCTTTCTGCTCAAGAGAGAAGTGGTAGCGGTTACTTGGGAGAGAAATGGTCCTGAAGGGGCAGAATCCCTGACCCAGGTCCCCAGATCCTGTCAACTCAGCCTTTATGGGTGCTCAGAGGCTACCGGGGAAGAATTAGCAAGGCTCACCTGCCACTTCCTGTTAAACTCTAGTTCATTTGCCTATCCTTCTTGTTTCCTAGGAGCTCAGTCTCATCCTTCTAGGTCTCCTTCATAATGGGTCTGTCTGCCTTCCTCCTCACTGACCCTAACCCAAAGTGCACTTGAATATGATATTCCAGTTGCTACTTTTTCTTCTCTCCCTGCCCGCCCCCCTTTTTTGAGATATGGTCTCGTGTAGCCCAAGCTGGCCTTAAACTTGCTAGGTAGCCAGGATGATCTTGAACTTCCGATCCTCTTGCCTGGAACTCCCAGGTGCTAGGATTAAAGGCTTGGGCTACCAAGCCCAGTTTATGCAGTGCTCGGTAACAAGTCAGGTCTTTTATGTATGCTGGGGACTTTCTCAGACCACGAGACAAGCCTCTCGTGACTGTGATTTCATGTGGGTGTGAACAGTTTCTTCCTGTCTCTGGGCCATGGTGGATTCCCTAGCCTCCCGAGGCAATCTTCCTCTACGAGCATTTCTGGAGGGCAGAGAGTTAGGCACGTGGATGTCTCTGCACCTTCCAAAACCACACAAACTGCTCCAAGTTTCTTAGCCTCTCGGACTCCAAACCCTCCACACGGAGACTCACACTGTCTCCTCAAAGGATAATTGTAAGGTTCAAATGACCAAGAATGTGATGGGTTCTCAGCAGTGAGATCGGTAGCGACCCTGGGGAAAGAGGCACTGCCACTTTTTATTGCTTGAAGTACAGCATGTGGCTTTGCCAAGCTCTTGAAAACCACTCTGGCAGGATCCCCCATCCGAGGATGAGGACAGACTAACAGGTACCTTAGTTACCATGGCTTTGCCAGGACTTTGACCAGTGAGTCCCAAGCCTGGTAGAATAGGAGAGAGAGAGAGAGAGAGAGAGAGAGAGAGAGAGAGAGAGAGAGAGAGAGAGAGAGAGAGAGAGAGAGAGAGAGAAGAGAAGAGAGAGAGGAAAGAGAAGGGTAGGAGAGGAAAAAAGAGGAGAGAGGAGAGGGCTGGAAGAAGGCAGGAGAGGACTCTGGGGTAGGGAAGGGAAGCTACTTTGGAGCCACATCTACTGAGCACTCCGCACAAGGACCGGTTCTCACCCAAGATTCTCCAGGAATGATAGTCTGGTGGTGGTAGGGATGGTGGTGGTAGACAGAACCTGCTGTGAGCGTCAGACAGAAACTGGGGACGCCAGCCCAGAGCCAATCCATTTTTCAGATGTTCCCAGGAGGGCTTTCCCACAACAGAACTGATGCATACAGAAACCACGTCTGAGAGGAAGCTGTCCCCCCTCCCCCGCCCATCGTGGCCCCTTGTTCTTTCCGGCCATCCACGTATCCAGCTTCACGGCTGACCTGCTCATTCCCAGAGCAACATTTGGGTATGCAGTCCCCTCGGGTCTCCCTGGCTTCACTCTTGGGGTACCTGGGTCACTTCAGAGTAGTTGGGGATTGAACCCTTGAGGCCAGAACTCTCATCTCCCTTAGAAGTGTAGGTGTGGGGTCACCAGCCAAGATGAGTAGACCTGGACCAGAGTCCCAAGGGGTTCCTCCCTCTCAGATTATAGACTCTCAAATCCCCACCGGCAATCATAGCCCTGGAAGGGTCAACAGAGAGCTAGGGCCCGAGGCATGGAGTCCACACTTGGCTCCTCCACGCCTTCCAAAGAGGCCTGAGACCCCAGGAGCAAATGGGAAGGGACCACGCTGTCTTATGGCGCTGTCTCCACTCCAGGGTTGTGGGATCCAGAGCCCCCACACTGCCTGCCCTGAAGACCTGGGCGCCTGAGCGCCTGGCTAACCCGCACCGCCGCGAACCCACCTCTTGCGCCCCAGCCGCGTCGCCGGAGCTGTTGCGGTCCTTGCAGCCAGCCCGCGCCTGCCCTAGGCGCTCTCGGCTCCCGCCTCCCGAGCTCCGGAACACAGCGAATTCTCCGCACGGTTCTTTTTTGAAGGGACGTTCTTTTGCATTGCGTCAGGGCGGTTGCCTGGCGACCACAGAGCTATTCCGCCGCCAGCCTCTCGGCGCCGCCGCCCGCCTCCCATTCAAGCCGCGGCAGGTTGGCCTCCCGGCACCGCTGGCCCCAGCGTGCCGGGTCCTAAAGACCCCCTATTCTCTCTCCCCATGCAGGGCCCAGCCCAGCCAGGCGCTCTCGGAAAGCCTCAGACGAAATCAAACCCAAACATTCATTATTTTTTTTTCCATCAAGACCAAAGCCAAGAGAGTTGTGTCCCGTCCTGTCTACACCCTCACCCCCAGCCCCCAAGCATGGCAACGTGGCTTTGCCGCTGTCAGCAGTTTGCTGCGGGAGTGGGCAGGGAAAGCCGGCCGCACTCCACCCAGGAAAGGCTTGGGTTCTTGATCCCCAAGCCAGACCAACTGCCACCAGCCCGTGCATGTCACACCATCACAGGATTCTAGCTGGGTGGGCATTTGTGGGCATCTCTGGCTTAGCTCGCAAATGGGGAAACCGAGACTCTGGGATGTGAAAGAGGAAAGAATTGGTGGGTCGTGCCGGTGGGTCTGACCCGGAGCCTGTTGCCTCTTTGACCACCTGTGCCTCATTCTGTCTCTTGAGTCGTCGGTGTGGTTTTAAGAGGATGAACCTTGCCCTTTCCTACTGGCTACAGAAGCACTTGAGGTGCCCTTCAATGCCCGACACCCCCTCCCCATTCACCCCTGCGTCTGAGCGGACAGGGTTATGAGTGTGCTGGGTGCCACAGCTGCCATGGGAGTGCTCCTTGTGTGTCAGCTAATGTGATGGTGGAGAGGAGAGGCGTTAGGGGACTTGCTTGAGCTCAGTGCCGGCTGAGAACCTCATGGAAAGAAGTGTCCTCAGTGGTCTGTAGCATATTCCAGAGAGGGAGCATGCACTCGAGCGTGTGTGGTGTGTGGTGTGTGTGTGTGTGTGTGTGTGTGTGTGTGTGTGTGTGTGTGTGTGTGTGTAGAAGACAAAGGATGCTGCACACAGAGACAAGGAAGATAAAAGTCACCTCCCCGGGGGGGATAAACCTGGGACTAGAAGCCAGTCTTGACTGGCCCATCACAAATCACTTGTGTCCTTCGGGAATGCCACTAGAGGCCCTCTGCTCACCTGTCAGAAGCCTCTGTGACTTGTACATGACCCTGGGGTGGAAGTAGGCCCCTCCTACAACAAACAAGCAGGCCCTGGAAGGTTGAAGATAGGAGCCTTAACTCCCCCAAGGCTACCTTTGAGGATCACCCTTTCATACCAGTCATTTGCCTCTATGGTGAGGTAACAGGAGAAACCCCACCCTTTGCTTTTGAGGTTTTAAAATTGAAATACAAAATGCCCCGCCTTGCATCGTTTCCCTGGATTGACTTTCCACACCTCCAATAAAGACATATTAATATCCTATAAATACCAGAGCCTGCCTTTGGCTCATGAGGACCACCTTAAATAAAAGACCTTGACCTTGCCAGGCTACTGAGGTGGATGGTGACACCCCTCTCCTTTCCAGAGAGCAATTAGGATGCCAAGGCCTGGGCCAGAGTCTGTCAGCTTCTGCCAGCTGCTCCTGGAAGAGACTTTTCCCACCAATGATACTGTGGCTTTCAAGAGGGAGCCAGGAGGTGGTTGTCATTGGTGCATTCCTCCTTAACTCTCAGAGAGATCAATTCAGCAACAAGACAGGCTCCCATCCCGTAGGGAGCCCATCAGGTCCACTTAGGGCCAGTAATCCTAGGCATGGTGCACACAACTTGTTACTAGGGAGATAACTGACCAAACATTCACTTGGTTGCTGGGGTCAGGAAAGGGGCAGATGCCTTCCAAGCCCAGGTAAAGAGGTAAAGAGGTGGGTGGGTGTGGGCTAAGGGAGACTTTGGAGAGTGCTGGGGGTGGAAAGAACTGGAGAGAAAGAGAAGGGCCTAATTACACACCGAAGTCCAAGTTGACTGAGGTCAGGGCATAGGTGTCAGGGCTGAGTTGTGGCACAGTCCCCAGGACAGTGGGACTAAGGAAAGGAGGTCACAGTTTACCTGTTTTAGGAAAGCTGGCTGAGGAGTGAAACAGGAGGCCTGTGATTAGGTGATTTTCTCTTTGAAGGAGGAAGGAAGCAAAAGACATACATGGTTCTGATGGGGGGCGGGAGAGAGAATCAGCTTTGTATTTCGTTGGTTGAAGATGCCAAGGGAGGTAGCAGAGAGCAGGGACTCAACAGGGATTCAGGAGTTAGGAGGACCTGGGTCAAGTCTTGGCCCTGCTGGTGTTTGACGTGTGGGAGGCGGTCACTGAGCTCCTTTGACATGCAGTGACTTTGGGGGTGAACGAAAATGATTCCTTGACGTTGATGTGTGGGTAAGAGGACTCCCACGAGACATGTGGTAGCTCTACCTTGAGCCTGTTCCAGATCAAGTGGCTGCAGGCTCATGAGGTGTCTCACAGTCCCCACCTCCCTTTGGCTCTCTAACTCTCTGGGTAGCAGGGCCCAGGAAGTTCCTGGGGAAATAGCTGTGTTTGGTTGGGGCTGGGGAGATGGCTCAGTCTGTAATGCGCTTGCCTTGTAAGAAGGAGTTCCTGGGTTCATTCTCCAAAATCTTTAAAATACCAAAAAAATATGTGTGGTCATGTGTGCGTACACGCACGCACGAACGCACGCACACACGCACGTACGCATGTACTCATGTGTGCAAACACACACGAAATAGTCTTGTTTGGCTATTCCCCTTTGTGGCCTCTTCTTGGTCTATAAAGACTCAGATGGAGGCTGGACAGCCAAATTGGGGAGTCCTTTGCTCAGTTAAAGTCCCCAGGGTAGGGAAAGAGAAAAGAGAGAGTTTGCTTCATTTCCTCTGCCCCTCTGAATTCCACAGTCCATGACTGAACCGACCCTACAAGATGTGAAATCAGAGCCTGGCCTTTGAGGTTCTGCTAAATGTGTATTTGTCAAGGCAGAAGGGAAGAACAAACCTTATTTCAAAGTTTATTAGTTTGATTTATAACGTTCAAATATTTAGACACATGGCGCGTGGGCCTCCTTCATTGCTTTTGCTTTGGGCCTCTCAAATGTCAGAGATGGGCAAGATTCCAGCCTGGGTTGCCGGTTTGTTTAAGGAACAGATGACAGGGCACCCTGTGCATAAGCCGGGGCTGTCACTGTCCTCCCTTCCATCTCCACAGCGGCCTCTGGGAGCTTTTCCTCTCTCCCGTGAACACATGTAAGAAACGGAAATGGAGAAAGTGTTTCCAGGTCTGGTACCGGCAACTGCACAGAGATCTCCTCAGCACGCGTAGCGTGAGAAAGCGATCAGCAGTCACCACTACCACCAGTGTGTCCAGATTCCAGTCTCAACACTGTCACTAATCAGATTAGCCCTTTTGCATCTGGAACAATTGATTTCTGCTCTGGCCTCTTCTGATCCTGGTTCTGTGATACTCGGCACCCACTGCCTAGGATCCATCGCCTTGGCAGTGGCAGGAGGTGGATGCCGAAAACCCACAGAGCAGGATGCTTTTGGTGGACAGTGCAAATCTGGACCAACAAGAGGCCAAGGAGGTCTGATGAGAGGAACAGTACAGTGAGGCCCACATGAGCATTTGATTTGAGACACTACTGAGCAAGGCGGTAGGTAGGAGAGGGGAAAGCCTGCTTATGGTAGTTACTATCTTCACCTCGGTGACCGAATCCCAACAGAGCATCAGGGAGGAAGGATTTATCTGGACTCGTGGTTCAGAGAATTACAGTCCATCATGATGGAAAGGCATCGCACCCAGAGTGGGCCAGTCAGCTTGTGGTAGCAAAAGCTTACAGCAGTGACTTCTCTAGTGATGGGGAGAAGGAAGTCAAGAGCTTAGACCTGAAATGAAGCTGGGTTATTGTTGGGGGCCATGTGAGGGGACCAACAGGCAGCATTGGAACTCATGGGACATGGCTGGGTGGTTGGCAAAGCCACACCTCAGAGAACCTTGGAGAGGCAAAGCCCCGAGGACTACGTGTCCTGAGGACCTCATGCTGTTACTGAGCATACTCTGATGGTCTTCACGGTCACCACATCCCCCATAATCTATGGGCTGTATGAAAACTCTCAGGGGGGTTCTAACCCCTCACTGGGCAATTAGTGGTACTTATAATAATAATAATTGACTTTTTCCAAGCATTGCTGCAGAAGCAGATTAATGATTCAACCACCATCCTTAGAAAGAATTTAGACATGTAGGTTGTTAGCAAAGATAGATTAAGATGGTTTTTGTTAATGGCTTTGAGGTAGAAAATCTTGGGGAACAAATTAAAGTTTAGAAAGGCACGTAGTTGAGTGAGGGACTCATTGATATCAAGAAACAAGGGACAATGATTGCCTGGCTATTGCTGGCTGATGTACCTTTCTTGCTGGGATGGGTTGGTGATCAAGGGTGATGACTAATTCTTTGTATCCATTTCTGTCCTCAGCTTCCTGATATAAAAGACTGTTGATGAGTCTTTTAATTTAATTTAAAGTAGAGCTGACTGATTGTTTTTCATATGTAAAAGTTTAGATTTGTGATTCTTTTAAGACTTCTTATAATATTACCTTTGAGATAAATAATAAAGTGATTGATGTAGCTGAAGTTTTCCACAGTCTTGCCCAGCCCCACGGACCCCACTGCTGCTTATAAAATAATCACTCAGAAGCTTATATTAATTAAAACTGCTTGGCTATTAGCTCAGACTTTCCACTGACTAGCTCTTACATTTAAAATCAGCCCATTTCTGTTAATCTATATGTTGCCTTGTTTTCTGTGGCTTTACCTGTGTGGTGCTACATGCTGCTCCCTGGACTGTGAGCTGGCCTCTCCTGACTCAGCCTTCTTCCCAGAATTCTCCTTGTCTGTTTATCCCGCCTATATTTTCTGTCTGGCTACTGGCCAATCAGCATTTTGTTTATCAACTAATCAGAGCAACAGATTCACAGCATACAGAGCAACATCACCCACTTTGTAACTGCAAAATGCAGCCTGCCAGTAAAAGAACTGGCTGAGAAAAATGCCTTGCTTGCTTCCATTCTGTTAATCTATAACAAGCCGCTTGGGTATG